AACCAGGTGCCATCAAGCTGAAGTCAAGTGACTGAAGGAGTTGATGATGGTGAAGTGGAACCAGGTATAGATATTAAAACAAAGCAAAAGAAAGATCAAGATTTGAAGCCAATAATTGATTTTCTAAAAGCAAGTGTTTTGCACACTGCTTGGGAGAAGGTGTCTAGTCTAAGCCCTGTGACAAAGAACTATTGGGCACAATGGGACCAGCTGAAGCTTGAAGATGATATTCTCCTCCGGAGATGGGGAACTGCAGATGGGAAAGTGACGACCTGGCAAACGGTTATACTGAGAAAGTTACGAGAAGTTGTGCTGCGTCAATTCCATGATACTTTAACAGGAGGACATCTCGGAGTTAAGAAGACATTGAGTCACCTACGACAAAGATTTTACTGGATAGGTATGAGGCAAGATGTGGAAGAATGGGGCAGAACATGCAGTATATGTTGTGCTTAAAAGGGACCCAAGCATAAGGGACGTGCTCCAATGAAGTTATATCAAGTTGGCGAACCAATGGAAAGAGTAGCCGTCGACATTGCTGGTCCTCTGCCCCAAACTCGTGCTGGAAACAAGTACATTTGTGTGGTGATGGATTATTTCACCAAGTGGCCTGAGGCATATGCAATACCATATCAGGAAGCTACAACTGTAGCTTTGGCTATTAGTGACTTCTTCTTCAGATTTGGTACGCCATACGAACTGCATTCAGATCAAGGCCGTAACTTCGAATCAGCTGTGTTCCAAGAATGCTGCAAGTTGTTTGGCATCCGAAAGACCAGGACAACGCCACTTCACCCACAGTCCGATGGGATGGTAGAAAAGTACAACTGGACACTAGGACAGGAATTGGCAAAGTTTTGTAATAGCCGCCAAGTTGACTGGGATGTCTTACTGCCTCCACTGCTGATAGCCTATAGGACAGCAGAGCATGAAGCCACTGGATACACTCCACAAAAGTTGATGTTGGGTCGGGAACTTCGGTTGCCAGTGGATCTGTTAACAGGACGCCCACCTTATGAACAGTTGCCTAAAAATGTGTCAGAGTTTGTGAAAGTGTTATCGGAAAGGATGGATGATATTCACCATCAAGTGCATTCAAACTTGAAAACGTCTGCTGATTGGATGAAGTTATCTTACGATAAGAGGTCTACTGAAGTCAACTTTGCACCAGGAGACAAGGTGTGGTTGTATAATCCCAGGAAGACAAAAGGGAAGTCTCCTAAGTTGTC